GGGATCAATAGGGCCCTGCGCCTTTCTGGCTTGGGCCCTAATGATCAGATCTGGTTAAACACATGACGAATGCGATATGTGTGAAAACGACAACTGAAGTGTGTGCACAGATTGTGTTTCATTAAAGCACGCATGGAGATCAGGGCTCAGAAGAGGGTTAGGATGACTTCTACAGCTGCACCAGACCGAGTCGCACTGAACACCTAAGGAACGTGAAGAATGTCTGAGCTGCTTACAAGCATTCCACGAGATGAAACTCAACCCTAGAGAGATCACAACAGAAGAGTTCCCACAGCCTCCCTCTGACATCCTCCATAAAACACTGACATCATGTGAGGAAAAATGAGTCAGATAGCAGAAAAAAAACGTTTGTGTGTGTGTTAAATCACTTCCTGTATACTTCTGTGCGTATACGTATATTAGCTGAATCTCTCAACCTCAGCTTTATGACCCTGAGCTGTACATTCCATAATAGCTGACATTTTATTTCTTTCACGATTCCTATAGAAACCTTTGAAGAAATATGTTACAATCAGAGGACTGTGAAGGACACAGAGACATACAAGAAATATTCATGTTCTTCTTTTTGGATCAGACATGAGACTATGTTGCAACGTGACTACTGTGCTGGTGCAGAAGCTGAGTTTTAGAACATGATAGCTGCTAATCATCTTTGACCAACAACAAACCACCTACCAGCTGGTCTAACTCGCTTCAGGTAGTCAAGCTGGTTTTTGAAACATTTGGACAGATTTTGAAAGATAAAGTTTTAACAATATACACTAATGTTTAAAATTTTGGGGTGAGCAATGTTTTAAAAAGAAATTAATACTCCGCAAAGACATTAAATTGACAAAAGTGGCAGTAAAAGTATTTATAATGTTCTATTTCTTTTCTATTCATCAAATCCTGCAAAAAACATATTATGGTTTTCACAAAAATATTAAACAGCAAAACTGTTTTTAACATTGATGATAATAAGACACCAAATCATAATATTAGAATGATTTCTGAAGGATAATATGACACTGAAGACTGGAGTAATGGCTGCTGAAAATTCATCTTTACCATCACAGGAATAAATTACATTTTAAAATATAATGAAATAGAAAACAGTTATTTTAAATTGTAATAATATTTAACAATATTACTTTTTTATGTATTTGTGATTAAATAAATTGAGCTTTTTTATGGGAAGTAGTCATATATTTTTTTCTTCATATGATGAAGATACTGATCAAACAACCAGCTTAAAGCTGAAATTATCTCCACATCAATGGAGTCAGACTGTTATGCCATTCAAGATGACATAAATGATCCTGACACAGTCCTAAGCAGGCCAACGAATAACTGGTGTTCAATGAGACATATAGCATGCATACAACACCTGTTTTGCAGGCTAGTTCTGTTCTGTACACAATCAATCATCGAAACGTCACAACAATCGTTATGTGCATTAAAAGTCTTACTGCTCCGTGAGCTCTTCTCCATGAATGTATCGCAGGCTCTTGAGGAAGGACAGAGAGCCCAGAGTGTGCGAGTGTTTGATCTTTACATATCCAGTCACTGTCTGGATCAGGCCCATGAAACTCTCCAGCTCTGATGCAATGTTAGCTGGGGAAACAGAGAGAGAGAGAGAGAGAGAGGGAGAGAGAGAGGGACAGTGTGAGAGGAGAGACAGACAGACAGAGAGAAAGAGTTATGACACTGGAGCAACACAAACCAAATCCCACAGGACACACAGTGTCTGCACTATAACTCATCACTTCATCAGTGTGAGTGAAACATGGGCGGCAGCAACTGTCCCATATCAAACCACTAAGAGCTTTAGCGGCTCATACTCAAAAAATACAATAATAAGGGTCCCCCAATGTCTGACCAAACATTTTCAGGACCCAAAGTGATTTAAATTTATCTATCACATGCCAGTCATTGGAAAAATAGATTTAAACAAGTATATGTTTATTGCACATTTTAAAAATAATTAACTGGATTTTATATTGTCATTGTATTAAACCAAAACTTAAAACTAAAACAAATTTTTTTCTGTAAAATATTTATCTAGCATTTTTTTAGTTTTTTTTACCCACTTTTCATTTCAACTTTATCTTTAAATGTTCATACTAAGTACTTTCAAAAACTTAAGAAATACTAATATTTTAAGTTAACGTAAACTTTGAAACCAATAAAAATAGTTTTTACAAAATCTTTTTCTTTTCTCTCAATTTTAGTTTTTCAAAACTCAAAGAGTATTTACCAATTACAAAATTTAACGTGGTCCTGGAAATGTTTAGTGAAAAGTAGTTTTATAATTAAAAAATATATATCTAGCAAATTTAATATTTTAGAGCAGAGCACAGCAAAAAAAAATCCTATTAAAGAACTGACTAAACATTTTAATATTTTACTAATTTTCCTTACATTCCCAGGTTGTAAATCACAATTTTAATATTCTCTGACAGGTTTTCCATGACCATGGGAACTCTGAATAATATATTTGTATAAAAATAGGGAGAGGCACAAATATTGATGCAATGGCTCAAGCTTGGATCTGTAATTTGTCTAGAAATAAGAAAGTCCTTATCACTGGCGGTTGTGGGAGAGGAGGGTGAGAGCGAGGGTACTTACTGCCCCGCCGGATGTTGATGTGCAGGTTGCCTTTGATGACCGTGCAGCCCTGCAGGGACTGAGCAGCATCCACCGAGTCAATTGTTTTAGATTCGCAGACCTTATCGCACAGTCCGTCACATGCACTACAAAACATACTGCAGGTGGGAGAGAGGGGGAGAAGAAGGGAGAGTGAGTGTCAAGGACAGATCACAGCCACACACACAGAGTCCAAAAAGGCAAAGCCAGTGAACCGTGACAGGATTAGTGTGTCTCACCAAAACATGAAGTATATTTAAGGCCTGTTTTTGACAAACACAAGGTCACTGCTTTATGAGGTCTTTGTGCTTAACCCTGGGTTCTACGTGAAAGGAGGATCATTAAGTCAGCAGTGAGGCAAAACCAGGTCTGGTCAATTTACAAAACAGGCTCAACATCTAAAAAGTTACATGGAAGAGTAAATGAAGTGATTTTTCTTTTAATATTTAACTTGAAAAGTGCAGGTGTCCAAGTAAAGTCCCAGGTGTGGTTATTACAATCTCCTTTACCTAGTTTAAATATATTTCTCTTGACTTTTTTCCCTCAAGAAACCAGTATGGTTATATGTGCCACCTGAAAGTAAACAGTCCTGGATTTTGAGATCATAAATCTCAATCTAGGCCTTCAAATCAGCACATACATCCTAATGGCAGCATAAATAACAGCTTTAGAATGATTAAGATGTTCATATGGTGTATAAGAGGGTTGTAGAGCCACCATAACCTACAGAGAACAGGCAGGGCTGTTGTTTAGGACCAATTCTGTGGTAACATTTTCCATTTTAGCTTTATGGATTTATAAATTAAAGTTCAAGATGAACATGTTCATCTAATCTCGCAAATCACGTTGCTAATGTGATGATAATGTGTGGTTAGATGGTCATTATCGCAAAATAAACCCCGATGGCAGTTACACAAACTCATTTTACCACAGAATGCTGTGATCAACCAGTCAGAATGAAGTATTCCGAAGGGCCATGTTTTGTTATTTTGAATCGTTCAAATGACTCTCTAAATATGTTGGCGGTTTTACTGAATTAACTATCTGACTCACTTACTGAACCACAAGCCACTTCTGACTCGAAATGAACCAACTGGTTCTTTATTTTATGACATATTTAAAAATAAAAATTTGCAAAACTTTTTGGTAATAAATTTATTTTCACAATAACATCTGTATTACAAAATGAAAAAGAAAGTTTTATTTAGTATGTAAGTATATATTATTTTTAGGGCTGGGTAAAAAATATCGATATCTCGATTTTAATCGATTCTCATTTTTACGAAACGATATCGATTCTTAAATCCCAAGAATTGATTAGTCTAGTCTGTTTTCAGTTACTGGACGGAACATTGAAGACCACTCCCCATCTAATATATCGCAATAAGCATTGTGCTTTGGTACTTTTAATATGACTCAATCAGTGTTTCAGCCGCGCAAAGACGTCAATATAACTGCTTGTAAACAATGTCACATAATGTCACATTTACCTCAGAAAAACATATTCGGTGACCATAAACTCATTAGTCAGATAGAAAAGTAAACGGTAGAGAGGGGCATTCTGCTAAATATATGCACCATATAACATATTCATTATAATTTTTACTGTTCTTCCATGTTTAATTTGTTTAAATAAATCTGTCAAGTTTTTATGACAGCCACCATTTAAATGTTTATATTTCAGAAAAAATTATTCAGAACAAATATTATTATGTAATTGTAACTTTATTATTATAAAAACTTCCTTAAGTGTAATTTAAGCAGTTGTATAGCCTAAAAATCTTTAAAAAATTTAAAATGTAACCTTCAGTATTATAGTAATGTAGTACCAACTGACTCTCATGTTTATTTTACAGCATTAGTTGAGAGATTTTTTTTCCTTGAGAAAATTTGGCATGTACTGTACCTGATATATATCCCAAATAATTGAATAAATTAAATATTCGATTCGATTTAAATATAAATTAAATCGAATCGAATTGGTAATTGAATCAAATCGCAAGCTTGTGAATGAGAATTGAATTGAATCGTGAAATTTGTGTCAAAACCCAGCCCTAATTATTTTGTATGCGTAAACGATACCTTATTTTAGTGTTAATTTATTATAAATATTTAGTAATATTTTGAATTGCCTTTTTTATTTTTAAATTTCATTTTTTACATTTTTTGTAATTTTATTATGTGCTTTACGTGACGTCCATTAGTTTTTTTTATATTTCTAATTAGTATTAATTTAAGCTAAATATTTAAGTTTTACTTTTAGTCATTTTAATACTTAAACTTATTTTATTTCAGTTAAATGCCAAATTCAAAATAAGCATTTCTAATTTTCGTTTATGGTTAAGTTTAAATCTTTCATCTAAAGCCTCGTATACACCGGGACGATTATCGCGCGCACTTATTGCCAGCGTTTTTCAACGCGTCTTTCGTGTTCATACCCAAGCGATTTTCGCAGGCGATGAGCCGAGTGAACGTGCAAATTCACTCCCTGACATTAGATGGCACTTAATGAAAAACAGTTTGTCATAAAGCTCTTTGTGTTCAGACACCAATGAGACCAGCAGCTCTACATTCATCTTGCTTCGATGCATCTTCTTGGTCTACTTACTTCCTCTTTGTCGTTAGGTATCAATGTGTGCTCGGCAAGACCGTTTTGTGCTTGAGCGCCACCAAGTCGTGTTTTACTGTAACTTCAGCAGCTCCAGGTACGTGAACAAAAGCGCCAATCTCATTGGTCGGCCAGTTTTTAACGCGACACGTCAAACCCAAAAAACCGAGCCCGAGGCATTTTTTACAAAAAAGACGCTTTTACGCCTCGCGTTTTGCGCGTCGGTGTGCACACTCACATTGGCGCCCTTTGTTTAGTCACGAGGCGTTAAATGTCGGCGATAATCGCGCGCGATATTCGTCCCGGTGTGAACAAGCCTTAACATTTAAATATAATTTCAGCTTTATTTCAGTTAAGGAAAACTATTTTTAGTGTTAGTTTGAGTTCTAGTTAGCAATAACGATACTGCAAAAGCATAAATAAACACTCTTGACACTGGTGTTTAATGAGGCACTCCTACATCCAGCTCAGGAGGCATACCTCTGAGTGTCATTTCGGGTGAATCCGGGAGGGCAGTCCGGCATACACTCTCCATTGTGGATGACAAAGTCGACCTCACTGGGTAGGTGAACACGGGCACACATGTCCATGGTGATGCAACGCCAACCTTCAAACTTGTACGTGCCCGGTGGGCAGGCCTCAACGCAGCGGTCCTCGTGAAAGTAATGCTGGCAGGCGGCACATGCCTTATCATTGTCTGGTTCAGTGCAGCTGCCCAGACACTGGGGGTGACAGCACTTGGGGTGAGCCTTATTCGTGCACGCCCTTTTCTCACACTTCTTTGGACACACTGGAAAAGAAAAACATAAATATAGAGAAAAATGTCAGTTGCTGCTTCAAAAGAAGAGTGAGTTTTAACATACAAGGCAACATTGTAAATCAGCATGTTTTTTTCCTGAGGCTTAAAGGCACAATATGTAATTTTTCGCCACTAGAGGGCGCGTATTCAAAACAAACAAAGAAACAAAGGCGTAGTTTGATGACGTTGTGACTGAGTGTGGAATCATGGGAGTTGTCGTCTTCATCCCCACAGCCGAAGCAATCCGACGGGACTCAGGCACAAATCATGTTCATGGATGAGCTAATGATTT